GAGCTTGATTGCATGTCAGGACATCTCTGATGACTTAATTGGGGCAATTTGTAGGGCCACAATTGTTGTGAGGCATTGCAGTCAAGCAGACACTACTGACCTCTGTGGTGTAGATCTGGTAATAACAGATATGCTAATAATACACACGATACACATTAATTATCGATTCACATCCGACAGAGACATTTTTTTTATCAGAAGTGTTTTGTGGCTGCGGCTCATAGACGAATGTCCTCCGCCTCAGATGTTTGCAGCTGTTTTTAAGGGTGAGACAAATAGCGAGAGAGGGAATGATTGAGGGAGTGTGTTGGTGTGTGTCTTTGTGTCACTCTGTCACCCCAGGCGTAGATGAGGGTGGGAATCAATAGATCTACAGCCTGAGCCGGACCACTTACCTCTGCCAAGTGATATTGTTGATGCTGTGGCCTCAAAGACTCCGTAGAGAAAAGCTGGAGATAGCCTGCAGCTGCATGATGTCAGCTCTTTGTCTTCATACTGAAGTTTTTCTTATTTATCTTTTTTTTTTTTACAATTATTTATCATCTTGCATTTGATCTTGAGAAGTCTCTGGTTATATTTGCATAAACTTTCAGTCTAAGACATTCAACTTTTTTTTGGAAACTAAAGGTAGAGATTGTGAATCAAAACTTTTTCTTGTAGCTTTTCACCCCATGGGACCAGCAGCTCTGGACTGAATGAATAAGTGCAGGTAAAAAGGCGGATAGGAACAAGAAGAGAGCCAGAGACGGCACGGCATGATAGAGACGAGGAGGACCATCATAATCAATCCTCTGCGATCCTGGAAGAGCATCGTTTGTCATCTTTTCTCTTGCCGCTCCTCCTTCTTGCCCTCATCTTTCTCTCATTTTTCTGTGGTTTTGCTACTTTGATCTTGCGTAAGGAGAGGCTTTCCAGAGCGTCATTAGTTTTTAAGCCCTATGAGTGGCCGTAAAGTGATGCTCAAGAGTTGATTTTTAAGTCCATTTACCAAACGTGCTGTTGAGGCTTACAAGTAATGGCTACATGGGGGAAAAGACGCTAATGTGCATGTTGCTCTGGGTTTTCAGGGTGAACTGAGATTTGCTGTCGCACGTCAGCGCTGACAAACATGACGCTGTGCATGTTAAATGATGCCTGCTGGGGATCCTGACTCTGCTGAATTCATGAGGACATTTTTACTCTGTTGCAAGAGCTTGAACTGTTTTCTCTATTATTATCATTACCAAAACCAGAAGTGTTGTATTGGTTTTGCCCTTGTCTGTGTGTGCATGGGTTCATTTACCCAGTGCTTCAATTATATCTGAGTGCACAACAGATTTACCTTCTGCAGTCAACCCAGTCCAAGATGACCACCACAGCTAATCAACCCTGGGCAACACAACAAAATGTCCGCAGAACAAAATTGCTATAAGTTTGTCAAATTTACATATTCTGAGCTGAGGCTTGGTGTGGTATTAGCTGAAAGTGATACTCAACACAAACACCAAGTGTTACCCATTTCAGATCTTGCAATGATGTAATTTACAGGTTAAAAAATGTCTTTTGTCATTATAATTTCCTACGATGAGATTCTGGTGATTTTCACAGCAGCAATAATAGCAATAGATGCACAGGATAATGTGAATATAATGTTGAAAATCTAAATAATAATAACTAATGTTGAATTATACCACTAATATTCTTTCAATGAATTCTGGACTTTTTAATTGATGATGTTTTTAAACATTTTCACGTGTCTTTATCAGTGTGCTGTTTGCCTGCATACTTGATTGGATATTGATGGGAGAGAGTAGGGAGGATTTGGCTGGCAGAGTTTGAGTATTTGTATGGGAGTAGCAGAAAAAAATGCTGAAGAAGAAATGATTTAGAGAAAGGCCAGTAGACAGGATGCCCTTTTTATTCTTTAAATTTGATCCAGGATACTGCAGAGAAACCAGCAAACGGGGAGGAAAAGATAAGGGTGCAGCATGGCTGGGGG